TATAATTATTAAAAACACAAACATTTAAAAGTAAAGTTTAAATAGTCTAACATAACAGTAACTAAATAATTTATTTTAGATATTCCCCTCTTATCTAGGTTATTTCCATTGTTTTGTTCCTATAAATCAGTGCTTGTGAAAAGTGAATGATTATTTAATTTTCTATAGTTTTGTACCATTTTCACCTAGTACTTAAAAATACTTTATATGTTATAAAATCATAACTCTTAGAGCCATGTAGAATCTTAAGTGAGCATTTGGTTGAACCTTGTCTTTCACATTATGTGAGATCTATAGCCCAGAAGTTTTAAGAGACATGCAAAATGCCACATCTAGCCTGTAGTGAAGGTAAGAATTGAACTACCTAGGATATTGTTCTAGTATGCAAATTCAGGGAACTTTTATTTTTGTCTAATTTTTAGATTATACATATTACAAAAATGTGCTATGCAAATAGGGAATTCCTTCAATACTATTTGTTGCAAGTCTAGTAAGTGTTGTGAATACAGTGAAAGGTAAGAAATATATGACAAAATGTCTCATGAAGCTTATATTTTTGTGGAGTGGATAACTATAAAACAAGAAATTAACAACTGTAGTAATTGCTGTGAAACAGTAGTACAGCGAGAAGAACAGAGGAGTACCTACCTACTTAAGACAGGTGACCAGGGTTCTCCGAGGAAGTGGTATCTTTTCTGAGACCTTAAGGACAGAAGGTGTCTTCCATTTGGAAAGTAGTCAGAGACAGGGACAAGTATTACGTTCATAGGTTCTGATCTCTCCTGTGTTTTAAATTTATTTATGGTTCCTTATGCATCTTGTATTATTTAATCAAGTATTTACTATAATTTTTTTTCTTATACATAAAGCTTGTTTGCTCAATGGTGTTATAAGCATATCAAATAATTAGCCCTAGATGGTGTGGCTCAGTGGATTGAATGCTGGCCTGTGAACGAAAGGGTCACGGGTTTGATTCCCAGTGTAGGGCACATGCCTGGGCTGCAGGCCAGGTCCCCAAGCAGGGGGCTTGTGAAATGCAACCACACGTTGATATTTCCCTTTTTTCCTCCCTCTCTAAAAAATAAATTAAAAAAACTTTTTAAAACAAGCATATAAAATAATTATATAGTATATACATATTACTATATAATTATACATTATATAGTTATATGTATTATAGTTATATAATTATACATTACTATATATACAATCACTGGTTGTATAGTGATTACACTAGTACTTTAAGAAAACTACTGAAAGAGATACACCAATTGGTTGCCTCACACATGCCCCCAACGGGAACCCAGTCATATGTCCTGACTGGGAATCAAACCAGTGACCTTTTGGTGTGCAGGCTAGTGCTCGGTCCACTGAGCCACACCAACCCTGGCTAGCCCGTTTTTTAATCCAGTTGTTTTCCTGCTGTTGACATTTCATTCTTTGCGTATTTTAGGTAACAGTCCTTTATCAGGTGTGTCTTTTGCAAATCTTTTTGTTCCTACAGCTTCTCTTCTCATTCTCTTGACATTGTTTTACAGAGCAGAAGTTTTTAATTTTGATAAAGTCCAGATTATCAGTTATTTCTTTCATGAACTGTGCCATTAGTGTTGTATCTAAAAAATCATCACCATATGCAAGGTTATCAAGATTTTCTCCTATGTTATCCTCTAGGCATTTTATTGTTTTTATGTTTTACATTTAGGTCTGTGATCCATATGAGTTAATTTTTGTAAATTGTGTAATGTCTGTGCCTAGATTCTTTTATATATCTATATATGTATCTATGTATCTATGTATCTATCTATCTATCTATATATCTATCTATGGCTGTCTAATTGTTCCAGCAACATTGTGGAAAATGTCTTTTCTCCTTTGTTTTGTTCTATATTCAGAGTAAAATAAAGGTGAAATAAGAGTAATACTGAGAGATTGTAAACGCCATGAGAAGTTGTTTAAAAATAGAGCTCTTTTTCTAAACTATGTAACACATATAACTTAAAATTTTTTAAAAGTTTTTTTTCCTTTATTTTTATTGCTGACACTATTACAGATGTCCCTATTTCCCTTCTTTGCCTGCCTCCACCCAGCCTCCCCTCATTTCCTCTGGCCATCATTATTTTTTTTTAAATTTGAACTTTCTGTAATGGTTTAATATTGTCCTTATTTGTTTTGTATTTAATTATGCTAAAACTAATTTATTCACATTCTTTTACTCTCAGTCATTTTTTTTTCTGGTTGAATAATGCTTCTGACATCTCAATTTTTTTCTCTTAAATCTATAGTTTTAGTTGTTACTGACCACTGCCCAGCCATAAAATCCCTTCCAGTCCAGTTCAGCCATTTAAAATGAACCAAAAATGGGTATGATTTTGATTAGTATTTGTATTAATTTCCTCTTGCTGTTGTAACAAATTGCCACAAACTTGGTAACTTAAAACAACATGAATTTATTCTTTTCTGGAGAACTGAAGTGAGAAATGGGCCTAAAACCAAGCTGTTGGTTTCTTCTGAAGGCTCTTAGGAAGGAGCCCCTTCTTTGCTTTTTCCAGCTTCTAGAGGTCATCCGCATTCCTTGGTTATTGGCCCTTCATCACATTGCCATTTCTCCTTTTTTTAATTGTCACATTGCCTTTTCTGACAATACCCCTCCTGCTTCTCTCTTATCAAATGCTTATGGGTGCATTAATAGGGGTTACCTGGATAATCCAGGACACTCTTCCATCTCAACCTTCTTAGCTTAATCATGTCTGAACACTCCCCTTTGCCATGTAAGGTAACATATTCACAGGTTCTAGGGACAAGAACCTGGTCAGCTTCAGGGGGCCATTATTCAGCCAGCAGAGTTTAATATATAATACGATAAATGTTTTTACTCCCATAGATTTTTAAAACTTTTGTTATTCAGTTAATATTTCCTTTTTTTTCAGTTATGGTACCTTATTTGCTATTTCATTCTTTAAATTTTATTTTATTTTTTTGCATTTTTTCCCAATTTGTCTTTATGAAATTTATTTGCATAAGACTACTGGTAATAGTAATCATTTTAGAATGTTACTATTTTCATGTACACTTTCCTATCGATTTTGTCCACATTTGTGAAATCCTTCACCTTTTTTGGGACTGATCTTGCAGATGCACATAAAAACAAATCTTTACCATCTTACTTTATACATTTTAAATTGTTCCTCATACTACTGTCATTGTTGTGAATCTTGTGGTAGTTAGGAAGTGCAAAGAAGGAACTGTCAGGAAGGTTTAGGTTCATATGAATGTAATTTTTTTCCCCAGGACTTGGTCCTTATGATTTATGTTCACAAAAGTGGTTGTTTTAAAAAATAAAGTTTTTCTGAAGAGATTCACTGAGAAATTAAAAAATATATATAACCAATTTATTACAAAAAGGGAGACATCATCAAATAAGCGAACGCATGAATTTGTCAGAAAATTTGTGTGGGTCATGGATTGTTGAATGAAGATGACATAAATAATAATTGCCATTTTCTGAATTTTTACTTTATGTACTTTACTAATGCTTTTTCAAATATTATTTTGTTGAATTCTCAGAACAACCCTAACAATAGGTACTATGATTATCATCAGTTTTTCCAATGATAAAACTGAAGATGTGAGAAAAGCAGAGGGACGAAGTTGAATCTGTTCAAATTCAGTATAATTACATTCTTTTTACTATGTCACAATGATTTTATTTGGGAGGTGTTTATGTCCTCTGACAGTCTAGTATGTCCCTTTTCATTACTTCTGTTTTTAACTTCACTGTTCAGAGTGATTTGTCTTTTGAACATTTCTCGATCTGTCATACAAATAATCTTAATCACTAGTTCTTTCCAACAATCCACTCAATTCTCTACCTTTTTGTTAGGATACTCTCCTGAAACTTGTTACAATATAATTGAGGTTTCAGCTTTCTTTATAGCATCCACTGAGGTTGCATCCTGCTCAATTTGATTGGAACTGAGTTTCACAATATCAATAGCATCGTATTTATGAATAAACCTCTCTTAGTGTGAGTTCCTTCTGCCTGTGATTATTTATTCAGTTTATGTCGATCCTTTTAAGTTCCAATTTAAGAAGGTAACATTCTGACCTTATTCTTCAGCTTTAAAGTTTTCTCTGCTGATGATCTATTGTCTTTTACATATAAATAACTTACTTTAGTAGTGCATAGCACAGTTCTTTAAGATATTAATATACTATGTATGACAGTGTTTGCAGAGGTATTCCCCATTACCACTACCTTTTTATTTGTTTGTTTGTTTATTTATTTATTTATGTTGCTGCTGCTGCTTAAATGTGGATGAGTTAGTTTGAAATTTCCACTAGAGGTAGCCTCCAAGGGGTAAAAAGTCACAACACATCAACATGTAGACTATGTAGTTCTCTAAAGGAGAGATTGGGAAGTCTGTTGTCTTTATAGTGATGACATTGGAAAGATCTGGGGGACTTATGCTCATTGCCTTAATCACAGCTCAGCCGTCAGTCTTAGGACAGCTTCCCCCTACTTGAAACACACACCCCTCCTTATATACAAACAGCTTGGTCCCAGGCTGTCAGCTTGATTTGATTTATTTTATTCTAGGCACAGGTTTGACTATAGCTATATTCCATTTGAGATGTGAAATAAATTTAAGATTCTGCTTTAGTCATGTTAATTCATTTTAGGCCCTATGCTTCTGGACTTAAGTGTCTATAATCTGTGAGGTAGATGGTTTAGCTATAAAATAAAATGAATGCCATAGATCATAATATATTTGAAAGCATGTTGAATTTGGTTTCTTCTTCCAAACATTTCCTTTCATTTTGTTAATGCTAGCATTTCATAACTACTGTGAGGATTCAAAATCTGTTCAGTTTTATAATTTTGATTCTCTAGGACTCATAAAGATAAAAATAGAAGCATATTTTGGATTTCTTTGAAGTCTGTATTTCTTAAAGAAATCAAAATAATTCATATTTAATGTGTTCTTTTTTTTTTTTTTTAGTATTGTGCTTCTGATAAGCCAAAAACAGACACTTGAAGAGCTGAAACAGTCAGTGCAGCAGCTGAGGTGCACAGAGGCAAAGTTTACAGCACAGAAAGAATTGCTAGAGCAAAAAGTGCAAGAAAATGATGGAAAAGAGCCTCCTCCAGTAATAAATTATGAAGAAGATGCACGATCAGTTACATCTATGGTAAGCCAAAGAATAATCAAACAAGAAGTCCGAAAGACTAGTAAGTACGTGATAAGTGAATAGAAAAGTTGATTCTGGTTCACTATAACAAATTATTACTCTTGTTAATATGCAGGTTCTATTAAACTTGTTTGTAAATGCAAAGTAGACTTGTCAGTCACCTTCAGGTCACTTGGAGAGCACTTTCAGGAACCACCTGTAGAATCAGAGGAAAAAGCTCTTCTCTTGCCTTCAAAACTGAAAACTAAGACTGCAATTGTTTTTATTCCTGGGAGACAGCAGGAGGGTAGGGTATTATTCTTAAGACAGAAGTAAGAAATTAGGAGAAAGCTATTTATTATTAATTTTTTCATCTTAAGAACAGTAGAATCTTATCTGTTTTCACAATAAGGTTTTTTTCTTACAAATATCTTTAAACTACAATTACATTTTAAACACGTTTAAATCCACCAACTGGAAATTAAACTTATGTTTGTATAGTTTTATTAACTGTTTAAGAATGCCTAGTACAAGAATCTCTCTCCCTTTATTCCTTTCTTCGTTTCATCTTATGTTGGTGGTTCTTACCAAGGGGCAGTTTTATTCTCCTCACCCCAGAGACATTTGGTAATCTTTCAAGATATTTTTGATTTTCACAGTTAGTGACTGCTATTGTTATCTAGTGGGTAGGCTCTGGTGATGCTGCTAAACATCCTACATTGCATAGGACAGCCCCTCCCTTCATATGCCCAACAGAACATTAACCCAAACTGTCAGTAGTGCCAAGGTTGAAAAAACCTGAGCTATATCCTTGGCTTTTTCTGTGGTTAGCTAGATGCAGTCTATATTAAGAACCATCACAGATATTATAGTTAATATTTAATAATATCTAGTTTATGTGGTTCTGAATAGTGTAGCCTGAGTGTTAAACAGATTCAAAATATCTCATAGAAAAAAAGGCTGCATTTAAAAATGTGATAAATGTGGAAATGAATATGAAGTATTTAAGATATTGTGATTATTGCTATTTTTATTATTAACTAAGTCACACTGATCTCCACCTTATATTGTGAACTATGAATTATAATTATTTGCTCTTCTTTACTATCCTGTCAGATAAAAAAGACCCTACTAGATTTCCATTCTTGGCTTATGATTCTTTTTTTTTTTCAGATTAGGTTTTTTTATTTTTTATTTTTTATTTTTTCAAATACATTTCTCTCTGCCCCTACCCCCCACCACTTTCCCTTGCCCCCTCCCTCTTTTCCTTCCTCAGCTCTTCCCCTTTGGTTTTGTCCATGAGTCCTTGCTATATGTTCCTTGACTTTCCCCTTCCCTTCCTTTTCCCGGGCCCCCCTTCCCTCTTGTCTCTGTTGATTTATTTTCCTTTCAGTGTTGCTGATCTTATTTTCCTTGCTTCTTTGTATTGTTGGTTAGGTTCCGCTTATAGGTAAGATCATACGGTATTTGTCTTTGGCCCCCTGGCTTATTTCGCTTAGCATGATGCTCTCCAGTTCCATCCATGCTGTCAAGAAGTTTAGTAGTTCTTTTTTTCTTTCTGCTGCGTAGTATTCCATTGTGTATATGTGCCATAACTTTTTGATCCAATCATCTACTGATGGGCATTTCGGTTGCTTCCAACTCTTGGCTATTGTAAATTGTGCTGCTATGAACATTGGGGTGCATAGGTTCTTTTGTATTGGCGTTTTGGTGTTCTCAGGGTATAGTCCCAGCAGGGGAATCGCTGGATCAAAAGGCAGTTCCATTTTCAGCTTTTTGAGGAAATTCCACACTGCTTTCCATAGTGGCTGCACCAGTCTGCATTCCCACCAACAGTGGACTAGGGTTCCCTTTTCTCCACAGCCTCGCCAGCACCTGTTGTTTGTGGATCTGTTTATGATGGCCATTCTGACTGGTGTGAGGCGGTACCTCATGGTGGTTTTGATCTGCATTTCTCTGATGGCTAGTGATGCAGAGCATCCTTTCAAATGCCTCTGGGCCCTCTGTATCTCCTCCTTAGAAAAGCGTCTGCCCAGGTCCTTTGCCCATTTTTTGATTGGATCGTTTGTCTTCTTGGAGTGGAGTCGAGTGAGTTCTTTGTATATCTTGGAGATCAAACCTCTATCTGATGTATCATTAGCGAATATATTTTCCCATATGGTTGGCTCCCTTTTCGTTTTGCTGATGTTTTCTTTCGCCGTGCAGAAGCTTCTTATTTTGATGAGGTCCCACTTGTTTATTCTTTCCTTTATGTCCCTTGCTTTAGGAGACATATCAGTGAAAAAATTGCTGCGTGGGATATCTGAGAGTTTCCTGCCAATGTTCTCCTCTAGGACTTTGATGGTGTTGCGACTTATATTTAAGTCTTTTATCCATCTTGAGTTTTTCTGAGATTTGCTTTGTGTCCTATCATGTGGTCTATCTTTGAAAGACTTCCATAAGCATTTGAAAAGAATGTGTATTTTTCTTCTTTGGATGTAAGGTTCTATATATGTCAGTTAAGTCTATTTGATTCAGTGTGTCATTCAGTGCCACATTATGTTTATTAATGTTTTGTTTGGAAGATCTGTCCATTTTTGACAGTGGGGTGTTGAAATCCCCTACTATCAGTGTGTTGCTGTCTATATCTTTTTTTGAAGTCGTCCAACAATTTCCTTCTATACTTGGGGGCTCCTATATTGGGAGCATATAAGTTTATAATGTTAATGTCTTCTTGATAGATTCTTCCTTTAAGTATTATAAAGTGCCCCTCTGGGTCTCTTTTTATGGCCTTTGTTTTGAAGTCTACTTTGTCTGATACAAGTATGGCAACTCTTGCCCATTTGCTTGGAATATTTTTTTCCATCCCTTTACTTTCAATCTGTGTAGGTCTTTGGCTCTGAGGTGGGTCTCTTGTAGGCAGCATATGTGTGGGTCATGTTTTCTTATCCATTCAGCTACCCTGTGTCTTTTGATTGGGGCATTTAGTCCATTCACATTGAGAGAGATTACTGATAGAAACTTACTCATCTTTTCTCTTTGTACTTGTGTTCCTCTCTGTCTCATTCTTTTCCTTCATCTGCTTAAACCAGTCCCCTTAGCATATCTTGGAGTGCTGGTTTGGTAGAGATGTATTCTTTTAGCTTTCTCTTGTCTGGGAAACTCCTTATTTCCCCTTCTATTTTAATGGAGAGCCTTGCTGGGTAGAGCAGCCTTGGCTGTAGGCCCTTGCTTATGATTCCTGATAACTATGTGGCATATGTATTGTTTCAGAGAAACTTATGAAGTTTTTTTCTTTTACTTGGTTTTTGAGAACCTTAGCTAGTAAATGTTTTATTCTTTGAGTGTGGTTTATAATATTTTTTGTCTCCATGTGGTTATTGAAAAATTGATTACTTCATAGCTTGATTTAGAGGCAGATAGGTTAAAACTGGCAATCCTATTCATTGTAAGTAATTCTATGTGCATACGACCCCCTGTTAGAGTTATTATTATCATAGAAAAAAGATGTTATTAAAGTCGTTAGATGTAGCATATCCTCATTTAAAAACCACAACTAAAAACTTCACTTTGACATTTAAAATATACTAGTTCATCAATTCTTATTTATTAAGAAGTTTTGATCATTTAGGCTTTTTTATCTTTCATAATCATGGAACAGAAGCTTTTTAAACAAATGAAGAAATAATCTTTCAGAGAGAATGTATAATATAGCTTAAACTGCATATACATTTCAAACTATATACTTCCTGACAGTTTCATATTTTCTCTTATAACCAGTTATTCAATAATGATAATACCTTGTAAATTTTTACAAAGTGATGTATTTCACTTTACCAAATTTATTTTAAGTAGTTGAAATGCTAATTATAAATATGTTGGCTATTCATTGAAGCAATGGCATTAATAATTCTTTAAGGAAATTACAAAGGAATACCATAATATGCAGTCATACCTCAATACTCATCAATTTCAGAACTCATCAAACCCCGTACTCTTTGCATTTTGATGAGAAAAAAATGTTTCAGCACTTGGTGCTTGCTCTGGGCTCCGTTGCACTTGCTAGAATTTGTATGAGTCACGATGCTGCCCAGCAACAGAAAATGCTTCATCGCTCGTTGCGTTCGTGTTTAGTACTCCGTTTTGGCACTCGTCGTGAGTTCCAGAATGCATTAACGATGAGTACTGAGGTATGACTATATGTTGTTTAAAGTAATAAATAACATTTTATAAATAAGTCATTCCCCAAATTGATGACAATTAATATTATTTTACAGAGTATTTTATAAAACAAGCAGAAATATTTGTTATGTGTAGTTTTAAAAAGTTAATAATACTTCTACCTATATAAGTGAACTTTTTACATAATTAAACATTACTTTATGAATAATATTTTAAGAAAAGCCTGAAATTAATGTAAGCAAATCCATCCTCTTTATAAATTTCATCCTTGTAAGTGGTGTAAAATTTCAACAAGAAGAATTTTAGCTGAATATTGGAAGAATCGAAAGAAGTAAAAATTAAACTATGACATGATGGAAAATGGTGAAAACTGGCGTAAGTGTTATGGAAGAGTAGATGAACTATTCCACATGATCCTGATTAGTGGCAGTGTTAACCAAAACACTAACTCTTCAGGGGTGAATGCTTCTATGGACCTATAGTGCCTTAAGGATCTATTCCACTGAAAATGAGTGGGCCCTAGATTGTATATTCTTAAATTGCAAGGTGATTCAGAAGTGTAATCAGAATTAGGATTATATAGTCAGGGTAATGCATATATTGATGTTTATTTTGGCAATTTAATTTGATGGAAATTAAAGCCCATCCACTAATTTACAGAAATCTTTTAAAAATTTTGGCAGCACATCATATAATCACCTCTCTCTGGAAGAGTGGTGCTTCCAATGCTGTCCTTTTTCACCACGTGTAATTTTGGCCAAAATACAAAGGAAGAAATGGTAAATGTTAAGTATCACATAATAATTCTCTATTGGCTATGAATAAGTATGTTACATTTATTTGTTCAAGTAATTTTTTGG